AAAGATATGAGATCCTTAACCACCTAGGGTTAGGAGGACCAGTTTTCGTACACACTATGGGAACCTAAAAAAGCAGGTCAATAATGTGCTCAAGTAAATCATCTAAAAACCAGCACCCTATACCGAATCAGGGATGCGAAGACCAGTTTTCGTTCATGCTAAAATAGACCGATCTCTCCAAAAACGTAATATGCCGAAGTAGGGATAGCATCAAATCATCACGAATGCTCTTCTAACCGTCTGTCCATAAAAGAAAATCCTACAAAAAATTGAACAAATACCTTTCGTAAGGTGTTGATATTGTTATTATCCTCGATAACATCACCACATATCATTTCGCAATCTTTGATTGCAGTCGGCTCTGTGTTCTGCTTGTGCGGCTTGAAAAACGGGATATTAGTAGTGAGCAAGGTCGCGGCTATGTCATGACTCACCAGAATAATGTTGTTTTCAGTTGAGTTTGTTAAAGTATCACTGATGCTTTGAGCAGAGCGCTTAAGATTCGATCTAAATGCGCAAACTGAGGTTCTAGGTATTCCCGGCTGAGTAAACAACCAGCAATCACATGCCTCTTTCTTTTGGCTCTTGCGACAGGTGGCGGTGATTGTCTCAGCTGATCGGAAGGAACGTGCCCAGCATGCTCTAAGCAGAATCGCACGTAAACCGTACTGCAACAAAGGCAATTCAACTGCTTTTCATCGATTGATATTGATTTAATTCAAACCGCTTACCCATCAACTCTTTCCATTACATGTACAAAAGCGGTACATGAAACTATACTTCCTTCAGCTTCACTAAATCGTGCGGATTCCGATAAACGACGTCGTTTCAATACCGGGGATGCACGTCTACGACAAAGTAAATAGTATTCCTAAATGCAGAAATAGTAGCGCTACGCTAACTATAACCAACAATTGACGACTAACTTTATCATCGCTTGACGGCCCTTCTTCTGAGCCAACATAGCCACCTTCTGTTCGGGAGTCTTCAACTTCGGATAGCCAGGCCTAGAAAAAATTAATTGGGAAGGCTGCTTATTTCAACATAACGAACGTCACATGAAATGCACAGAGCGAGGTTAACAGTCTTATCATCTCAGCGCAAAGAAAAAGAAAATGAAACAGGCATCTGA